TTCCAAAGATTATATAATAAACCACTTCAGATATTTGGTGGATTCTGAAGTACTCCTCTAAGTATTCTATTTGCTACCGGTATGGGTCTAGGCCGAGTCATACCGATGGATGAGGTGGCCCTACCAGGGTTACGTGACGACGTAATCCAACTGTATATTTTCCATGAGAGGTTAGGCATGGGACATGGGTTGCTGACATGTTTCACCGTATCAACACTTGGTTTGGATGGTGTTGAGGCCAACATTTGGTTTGGATGTGTTGGTTACATCATGGATTATACAGTGGTGTGACTTTGTTTTGAATGTGGAATATGTATACATATGGTATGGATTGTATACATTGGTTATGGATTCTTTATTAAATATGTATACATTGGCATGGATGTGTATACATTAGATTCATAATGGTTCGAAATTGTATAAATTTGGTTTGGGATTCATTTGGGATGGATTTTGGGGGGTGAAAATCGGAGTTTTCGAACTTCTGACGCGCTGTCTGATGCATGCGCTGAGCGCACGAGACAACGCGCTAAGCGCATTTATCCATGGGTTGAGCGCATTTCAAAATGGGCTGAGCGCATGGGTCTACGCGCTAAGCGAGCTGTTTCCAGTGGCTCTCTGTCTCAAGCGCGCTGAGCGCACAAGTCTATGCGCTGAGCGCATATGGTCATAGGCTGAACGCACATGGTGACGCACTGAGCGGGCAAAGCCTAATAGGCTCCCAGTTTTAGTTGAGCTGGACGCAAATACCACTGCGCTGGGCGCGTGATTTCTTTGAGGAAAACCTTTTATAATTGATTTTTTTTATGAAACTTTTAAATGTTGAATCATATCGTCTTTGATGTTATATATTTGGTATGGAATGTGGCATGGTTTTGGAAATGATTGCATGTAATTATGGAATATGCTGTATGTGTTTGGTTTGGAAAGTTAATAGGACTTAGAGGAGTAAGGTTATGGTATGGATTGGGAGATCTCTCGGTGAGATTAGGATATAATCTTTGGAAAAATATGGAATTTGGGAGTCCCATGGTGAGGATTCCAATATGGAACTTTTCCAAAGATTATATAATAAACCACTTCAGATATTTGGTGGATTCTGAAGTACTCCTCTAAGTATTCTATTTGCTACCGGTATGGGTCTAGGCCGAGTCATACCGATGGATGAGGTGGCCCTACCAGGGTTACGTGACGACGTAATCCAACTGTATATTTTCCATGAGAGGTTAGGCATGGGACATGGGTTGCTGACATGTTTCACCGTATCAACACTTGGTTTGGATGGTGTTGAGGCCAACATTTGGTTTGGATGTGTTGGTTACATCATGGATTATACAGTGGTGTGACTTTGTTTTGAATGTGGAATATGTATACATATGGTATGGATTGTATACATTGGTTATGGATTCTTTATTAAATATGTATACATTGGCATGGATGTGTATACATTAGATTCTAGAATTGGTTTATATTTGGCATGGAAATAACTATTTATAATGTTCATTTCTTTGGTATGGATACATATTGTTGATGAATATCTTGTTTAATGATATTTTATTATGTTGTACTATGGTTTGTTTTATATGTGCTAACTCTTGCATGTTTCCATGTGGTTTGGACTATGATGATCTCACTATGTGGGGGAGCAGATCAGGTGTGAGGCTTTGGGATAGCAAGGAGTCTTTTGGTAGCTGCTTTGAGAAGTGGCTAGGCTTAGAGCTTGACTAGCACCTAGGGTGTCTTATTTTGATGTCTTCATGACATTGTAATTATATTATCTTTTTGGATTACTGTATAATCTTACCGAGGATGATGACTCTGCTATAAAATATGTTATATATTTTGGAAAACAATGTATATATTATTGTATATTTACACTCTAGCGTAGCTGGCCCTTGTTTTATTTTCCTTATTATATATTATTTTATTTTGGTTGGTTTTGTATGTGACGGCCTAGGGTGGGTCGTTACAAAGTTGGCGAATCAAAAGTGGTTGATAATACTTGTAATCTGTTGTGATTAGTGGAACCCTTCGATTGAAGAAGACTGGACGTAGCTCAGGTCGAGCGAACCAGTATAAAACTCTTTGCACTTTTTATCTATTTCTCAAAGGCAATTTTGTTTAGCTGATATATCATACCAAAAATTCCGTCCACTGCTTATTTTTCGCTGCAACTATCTTCAGACAAAAAATACACTTGCTTAACTTATTATTTTAAGAAACATTTTCCTTGTGCAGACGATAAACTCTCAAACGCAAAATCTTTTGTTAAGCCAACCTTTCACAGTTTGTAAGTGTTCAAAATAGTGTTGTTGTTAAATGAAAAAGAGTCTCTTTGGGAAAATAGTTTTAAAATTCCTTCGTTCACACACACATTCAACCCCCCTTCTGTGTGTTTTTTCGCTAACTTCACTATGAAGATTTGAATGATTAGGAGGTAAAACAACTTGATAGGCAATGCTATTGACTTTTTTAGGGATTTGGAAAGGACCAATTAATTGAGACGTAAGCTTTTTGGACTTCAATGCCCTACCAATACTAGTCCACGGAGTGACTTTCAAGAATACATGATCTCCCTCTTGAAATTCTAAGTCCTTCATCCTCCTATCAACATAACTCTTTTGGCTACTCTAGGTTGTCCTTATCCTCTCTACCCTAACCTTATCTGTGGTTTGTTGTACCACCTCGGGTCCCAAGGTAATACCATCCTCAACTCACACCAACATAAAGGAGTCCTACACCTCCTACCATACAAGGCTTCTTAGGGTGCCATGCTTATACTAGAGTGAAAACTATTGTTAAAAGGAAACTCTATACACTAATGCAAAAATTGGATTTAAAATCAGAGTTTTAAGATCAGTTACAGGGTAACCGATCTTAAAAGTGACGCGATGGCAATTTGGTAAATAATATGAACACTTTTAAAATCGATTAAAATTTAACCGATCTTAAAAGTACTTTTAAGATCGGTTATTTTATGGCCAATCTTAAAAGGTATGTCTAACACAACTTTTAAGATCGGTTACAAAAGAACCGATCTTAAAAGTTGTATCAGACATAACTTTTAAGATCGGTTATTTTATGACCAATTCTCAAAGTGCTACTTTAAAATCGGTTATTTAAGAACCGATTTTAAAAGTGCTACTTTTAAAATTGGTTATTTCAGAACCGATTTTGTACGTAGTATGCAAAATTGGTTCTTAAATAACTGATTTTAAAAGTATCGTCAGAAACCTTTTATATTTCCCTCCATTTTCATTCTCTTTAATATTTCCCTCCATTCCTTTTTTTACTCTCTCGCACTCTCATTTTCTAAAGTCTCCAATAAGGTAAATTTCGTTGTCATTTTCCTTTTCGTTTTCATCTTCTCATGCTCTTCTTGTGTCTCTTTTCGTTTTCTCATGTTTTTCTCTTGTCTTTATTTTCGTTGTAGATTCATTTTGGGTAAATTTTGAATCTGGAACGGCCCGTTCTGCAAGGAGAATGGCCCGTTCTGCAAGGAGAACGACCCGTTCTTCAAGGAGAACGACCCGTATTGCAAGGAGAACCAGCCGTTCTGATGTCCGTTCTGGATTGGTTAAACTTATGCCAAACTATGCTAGAACGGCTCGTTCCACACTATCTTTTTAGGCCTTTTTAACAACCTGGAACGGCCCGTTCCAGATGTGGAATGGCCCGTTCCAGTTTAATTTTTTCGCAGCCAGGACTTTTAAGATAGGTTATAAAACAACCAATCTTAAAAGTTAACTTTTAAAATCGGTTATTTAACTGATTTTAAAAGTCTAACTTTTAAAATCGGCTCTTTTAAAATTAGTTACGGAACCGATTTTAAAATTTGAAAATAACTTTTTAAAAGCCTTTTTTCCACAGTGATATAAGGCAAAAGGTTATCCCAACTACCCCCTTGGTCCAACACACAGACTCTAAGCAAATCTTTTAAGGATTGGATAATCCTCTCAGTCTGGCCATCGATGTGTAGGTGATAAGTTGATTTAAGCCTAAGTTGGGTTCTGCTACCATCTTTTTTCTTAACTAAGAGAAAAGGGGCTCCCCAAGGTGACACATTAGGCCTCACAAACCCTTTCTCTAGTAAGTCCTCTATTTGTTTCTTAAGCTTGACTAGCTCTACAGGTGACATCCTATAAGGTGTAGCTAAAATAGGCCTCGTACCCAGTACTAGATCAATAGAAAACTCTACCTCTCTCTTAGGTGGTAAACTAGACATGTCCTTAGAGAAGACATAAGGGAATTCATACACTACTGGTAGTTCATTCACTATAGCACTACTATCAGAACTTAAAGAGGCTAAAAGAATGTAAACTTGGGCATCAACTTGCAAAGACACCTTAACTTGATTGGCAATCAAATAGTCCTTACTTTTCCTCTCGACAGATTTTCCAAAAACAATAGTTTTCTTAGCACAATTAAGGAGAAAATGGTTGGAAGATAACCAGTTCATACTAAGAATAATGTCTAGTTGACTCAGAGGCAAACAAATCAAGTCAACTACAAAATATCTACCATCAACATGCACATGACACTTCAAATAATCATTGGAAGTAGAAACTGACCCACTAGTTGGTGTTTCCACAATTAACTCAAAGGACAAGAAAGTCACAGGCAATTTTAGTTTGGACACACAAGCATGTGATATAAAAGAGCGAGTCGCACTAGAATCATACAAAATAATTAAAGGAGTCTCATCAATGAAACACATACCTTGGATTAAGTATTCAGATTGAGTGGCTTCAACACCACTCAAGGAAAATACTCTCCATGTCGCTTTTGGTTTACTAGCACTCCCACTAGCTCCCACCGACTCATGTCTTGCTCTAGGGTAGTCATGAACAATGTGCCCTTTCTCCTAAGCATGTCACGTCCCTAATTGCTTGACATTGGTATGCCTTGTGGCCTGGCTTCCCACACTTGAAGTAGTTAATTATCGGAGTAGAACCCATAATTCCTCCTCTAAAAGCTTGACTGACCACTTGACTCTTGTGTTAAGCAAAGCCCTGACTACCTCCCCTAACATTGGAATCTCCAACAGATTTAGAGTAAGGCTTACTCTTACTAGACGAACCAAACTTGCTCTGTGTCCTCATCGGTCCTCCACTCTTATAATGGGTAACTTTAGCACGATTATCCTCATCATATACTCGACACTTATTCACCAACTCGTGATAGCAAGTGATTCCTTGGTAGTTAAAAATATGCTTAATCTCAAAACGAAGGCCACTAACAAACTTCACACATTTGACCTCCTTATTTCCCGCATCATCATACATAGGGCAGAGCCGAACCAGTGCCTCAAACTTAGACACATAGTCTGCCATAGTATTGTCTCCTTGCTTCAGCTTAAGGAATTCCACTTGTTTCTTGTTTCTCACATCTTGAGGGAAGTATCTCTCCATGAATAGCCTTTTGAAATTCTCCCAATTCACATGAGTACCTTCAACCATCATCTTCTACAAGGTACTCTGCCACCAGATACAAACATCCCCAAAGAGCATGAAGGTTACCAATGTCACATTTTGCACCAAAGGACATCAAAGCCTGGAATACCTTCTCCATCTCAAACATCAAATTATCAGCCCCATCAGAATTATAACTCCCATGAAAACTTGGCAGATTCTTCCTCTGGAATCGATTCAACCAATCTACTTCTGGGCATTAGTTTAGATTACCAATAGCCTGGGCCATTGCTTTTAGGCATCAGTGATTGCACAATCCTTCTTACCCCCAGCCATCATTCTTTTGATTCACAAAAAAGTAGAATAGTTATACATCAAATCAATAGAATAATTTAGTTAAATCATCAGTTCATTCACACCATCAAGCACCACATAAGCATAGTAAACTCATAACTCACAACCAAATGGATCGACGTACTTTGATACCACTAAATGTGACACCCATTCTACCCCAACATATAATTCATATATATAATGAAAATTTTCAATTAAAACTTGTAGGTAAAATAGGTTCATATAAAAATTGTCTCTAAACATCCAACCAAATTAAAATAAAATTATAAGGTATAAGGTTTACAGTTGTATTTAAACAAGGGAGGAATAGTAAATCAACATAAGTTATAACTCTTATTCTACTCTCATTACCCCGATGTCACACTATCAGAGCAACCCATAACTTTAACTCTCGACACCTTGAGTGCCACCCTCGTCATGGTCATCATTAACCAAAATAAAACCCCAAAACATATGGGTTAGAAAAATAAGTATTCACAAGTGAAAAACAAGAAAAGAATTCCACTCAACATAAAATCAACCCATGTGCAGTTAACAGCAACAACCAATCACAATATTATTCTTAATTCACAAATCCATCAACTACAATCATCACAACCATATCATAATACAACTCATGCATTATGATCTTGTTCACATCAATGCAAATGCAATGCAACCTCCTAAGAAGCATTGACTTAGAGTGTTGCACAATGGGCGAACCTCATCAATCTCCTCAGGCACTTACACACATGGCCACACCGTTTACATCACTTAGAACCGGTGTCACACTATTAATCACCACTTAGTCCAGTGTATAAATAATGCATCCAACATTGTTTACATCACTTATGATTGGTGTCACACTTTTAATCACTACTTAGGCCAATGTTTAAGGATACATCCTTTGTTAATCACCACTTAGGCTAGGGTAAATGCGCATGCAACATGTACCAATGCTCATGCCATGTTACACATACCATCATCATTTCATGCCAATGTACAACTTATAATAAAATTGCATTCCACCACATTTGCATGCCAACTCATTCAAGTAAACACCACTCATATTCAATTACACTCCTCCAAATACACAATATTCCTACTCAATTATACTCAGCCAAATATACATCATTTATATCTATTTATACAATGGTCATCAAGGACATTAGACCACTCACAATCACCTTCAAAGCACATCAATACATATAGCACATCCCATATTCACGCCCGACAAGATTACTATTTCACCCAGTGCTAAGAGAAACCCAAGACCACTAGGCCTCTCTCGCACCCAATGTCGTGGAGTCACGCTTGACACTAAGGCCAGACCACCCCAAGGTAGTTACGCCCAATGTGAAACATTCCATGCCCGGTGCAACTCCTTCTAGGCTTCACATTCATTAGTATGAATGTGAGCTTGGTGCAAAGGGCTCAAGCCCAACGCCAACGCAATTTCTAGAAAAATACAGCACAAACATAATATCCCAAAATTCACAATTAATCATACCATCATCCTCTTCCTAATCCAATCAGTCAGAAACCATTATTATCCCACAAATATACAACCTTTATTTCATGAAATCACACATTAACTGACAAAAATTTCAATTCCTCATAAACCCTAATTGATAGAGACATTTCAAAAGGTTTCAATCTTCATCTAGATCATCAATTTTAACAAAAAACACAAACATAAATCAATACAAAACTTAACAGAATCATTAATTCCATTTATAGAAAGGGAAATAGAAAGATCCTAAGAATTGAGGGACTTCTTCCACCCCCGTCGTACCTTGTTGTGATGATAAGAACAATCTTGATGCAGCTTGGGACAATTATGAACACTTCTCCTTAGAGCTCTTTCCTTCTTTTCCCTTTCTCTCATAACCCTTAGGATGTAAAATGAGGTAGATGAGTAAACTCTATCTGATTCCTTTCTTAAAAATTCACTGAATTAGGTTAGTTTGGCCAATTTCTCTTCTTCCATTAAAATAAATAAATAATTATAATAAAATAATTCCCCACACTTAAAATAATTAATATTTCTTACTATAATATAATAATATTAATAATATTATTATTATTAAAAAAAATAGAATGTTACACCATAGGCCTATATAAGAAATAAAATTGACTTAAAAGAAAAAGAGAAAGGGGAAAAAAAAACAAGGAGCGAAAAAAAGAGAAATATTCCTTTTTTGCATAAAAGCATGACGTATAGAAACAATTCAACAATTTCATTCTTCATGTACGCTTCATTTTGAATATGGATTGCTTAAATCAAATAATCTTCAAATTTGACACATTAGTTTAACATTCCATTAACATATAATTAATAACTTCTTTTTGCATGTTGCATCCATTTGTTGTAGATAATTGTTTCCTTTTGCAAAAAAATAAATAAATAAAATCAGAAAACAACTCAATATTGTTTGGTAGTTTTCTTCTTCTTTTTCTTTCCCCCAACATTTTAAAGAAATTCTTGCAGTAAAAAAAAAGGAAAAAGAATATTAATATTTCACCCCATTTATGTAATAAATTAGGTCCTCTTGAACTGATTGTTTTTAAAAATTGACTATATCAAATTACAAATTCATTCAATTTTAAAGATGAAAGTCAAACACTCAAGTCATAAGAATTATTATTAAGGATGTTGCTAAGGAAATAATAACTCACATGTTTCATCAAATGAGGTCATTGTTCTTAAAAAAATTTTATGGGGACTTTTTAGTTAGTTTATGCATTAAAGTTATCGACTCTTATTGTTGAAGTTCAATTTATATATATATATATATATATATATATATATA